CCTTCTGAAAAACATCTAAATCACCAAATCTTACAATCAGATGAAACCTTGCTGCCCCTGTCATTCATACACACTCAGGATTTTTATTTGGTGTGGCTGTTTGAGAGCTATCCTGGAGTTAAGAGTTGGGTTTTATTCCTTAATTACTTAATGAATTTACCATGCGGCACAACCCTTGGTACTGCCAAGCAATAGCTTCCTGTTACTAGACTGTACAGGCCTGATCCTGCATTACCAAAGCAAAAAGCAGTATTTGGGAACTGATATTTTCATCAACATCTGTAGGAAGCTTAGAACAACTATACAAAAGGGGTTAGTTGCACTCAGAATATTGATTCATGAACTCCCTCGTTTTTTGCATAGCTGTTCATTTTACCCAAAGAAGATCAACTGCCCAACTGGACATATAATATATGATACTGCATTAAAACTAAGGCTGCATTTGGTCATACTCATTAATTAAACTGATTTCTCCTGTAGGGTTTTTTTTTTTCCTAGAGAACTAACCGAGAATGATAATTAAGCATGTTATGCATTCTAGGGAACAGTGTTTCTCCTACTGCCACAAACACATTAAAGGAGAAAAATATGAACTAAAGGAGAAAATGAAGGTATGGGGGGGAAGAGCTAAAACTGGAGTGAGAAGGAGTGGATCATCAGGGTTTTTACTGACTCCTGTGCTTTAGGACACATGGGACAGCCGTGTTAGAGTTGCACCAGCAGAAAAAGGAGAAAAAGCCATTGAAATCCCAAGGAAAGCTGCCCAGCTCCCAGGTGCAGCTCCCTGCCTGCTTGTGTACAGGTGCAGGCTGCAGTAATGCAGCACCCCAGTTTTTTACTGAGGAACTAGTTTTTATTTGTGGCTGAGCCGCACATGAGAAGGGCCCTACTCCTGGAGGTCAGTGCTGGGCCTGAAGAGAGCCTGCACGAGGTGTGAGCAGTGTTTCACCGTGCCTTTGCTTGCGGCATGCTTTCTCCTTACCCAGGAGAGCCTCTCTGCTCGGGTGGAACGAGCAGCTTTGCTGTAGGCAGGCCCTTTGTCTGGCTTCTCCCAGGGTACCACTGCTGAGGGGGTCTCTATTTGTAAAAAGTTGTCTGCATTGGGGGCAGTGTTAGGTGTTTGCCTGCCATCTTCTGCATGCACCAAAGCAAAGACAGCCAGGGAGAAAATGAAGTTGTGTTGAACAATTACCTGATGAAATCTCATAGTATTCATACATATTGCAATCAGAAAGGAAAAGGCCAAAGATTCAATTAGAATCATAGGAAGCAGTTCACTCCCTCTATTTTTGAAATATGCAAGGGATGCCAACATTCCAGCACAAACTTTGCCATTCTTTCCTAATTAGCATCCGTGTTGATGGGCAGATTACCTGGCAGTCTGTAGTGTTTCTAATGAATTGATTTATGAAGTCCAGTGTCTGTTTCCTCCTTCCCAATCTTTGATTTCTGTTTGTTCATTTATTACCTTGTTCATTTATTTATCTTCAATGCAGGAGTGGTTTTTGAATGATTATTTTCATGAGACCTGGCCTCAATCAGACAGGCTTTGACCATCCTTGCTCAAAGACAGGGCTGCACTCAGGCTCTGCCTGTAGCCCACATCAGGTCGGTACTGCTGCAGAAAGGCACAGCTCAGCTCCTTCTCTTTTACTGTGTCATCTTCACATGTGAGCAGCTCACAGGCCTCTGTCAAGGCTAGGACTGCACAGCTAAACCTGTGCTACTGCTTCCTGGGAAACCCGTACATGCATGGTTCTGAAACGGGATGCATTTTGGGTGGCTCCTCCTTGCAGACGCTCAGACTGTTTCCCCCTCCCGCTCCCGCAGGCTCTGGAAGCCTCTGCCGGCACACTTCCTAAGCACGGCATTCCGTGCCTCCATTGCAGGCTGCTTCTCCTGCTTACTGAAGTGCTCAGCAAACTGCATTTGGGTGTCGCAGACACCCTCTGCTCAGGCTTCTCCAGAGCTGAGGGCGGAGTTTCTTGGCCAGGAAGGTCTCCCTCAATCAGGTGCGAGGCCATGTGAGGAGCAGGCAGCCGCGGGATTATTCTCCTTGCCTAGCCCAACCTCGTCCCGCCGCGCTGGAGCCTGGGCTGTGCGCGAAGCACGGGAAGGAGCTCTATTCGTATCGATTCGTATCGTGACCTATGCTCAGCTGGGAGTGCTTCTGAGTGTGGATGCAGGTTGTACTAGTTGTGTTCGGAGGCACTATCTGAGTTACAGCGTGACTGTAAACTCCTGCCAAGAAAGACTCGGGAGAGTTACAGTAGGAAACAGAAGGGGCGGCGAGCTTTTTCTTATGCCGATGTAAAATTGGAGCAACCGAGCGGAGTCAGAAGCGTTTAAAACTCGAATGACACAGGCTCAGGCTTTTTACTGCCGACTGTAACATGGCAAGGGCTGTGCACATCGGGCTGGAGCCCAGCTGCTTATTTAGCAAATGTTTGTGGTTGTGCCTCTGGTGCCGGTGATAGCGCGCACACACCCAGGCACGGGCACTGTAAACCTGCTGCGGACTTTGAGCTCCGGAAGGCAGCGCTGCTCGGCTGGGCGCATCCACGGCGCGATTGCGCAAGGCCAGGTCCCGCTGGGTTACAAATCTGCTGTAAAGGAGGGTGGAATGGGGCCCCGAAATTCAGTGAGTCTGGCATGCAAAAAACACCCCCCAAACAACCCAGCCAACAGTGTGCAAGTATTACAAATATTCTGTGTGGGTTTTGAGTAGGCAGAAGCTGACCTAGAAGTGATACCACCGAACAGGTATCACTCAGGCCCTAAAGAAGATGAACCTTTTCCTTTTATTTAGTGATTTTGTTGTGAAGCTGGTAATTTCAGGGAGAGACTTGTTTCCCCAGGCAGAAGGACCAAATTTCAGTGCCTTGCTGCTGGAAAGTATCCAGCCCGGGAGATTCTGGTTTTAATGTTTGCCAGCTCCTGGGCAATTCGCAAATCACTCGTCAAAATCTAGTAAATGACTCGCGAATTGCTTTGCAGATTGGTTTAGGATTAACTCTGCCACAGATAAGGGATGACAGAGCTTGGATCTCCTCAAAGGAATAGCACGGGTGGAAAGAGAAAGGTGTGCTGAGGCCTCCAAACCTGCAAAATAAAATGTCAGTTTTTAGATCTGATGTCCTTTCTTTTATTTTTAGTGAGTTCAGCAGAGTGCTCAAGTGCCAGTCCTGGTGTTTTAACATCAACGTGATGGGGCCTTTTCAATTCTAATTTTAAGAATCCATAAAATCAGCACTTAGTCTCCTTTTATTTTGGCAGATTCACTGTTTTAATGGTTTGGTGTTGTTTTTCCTTTGTGGATTTTTGTCAGATACAGTTTCCAGAGCGAGAAAACCTTTCTTCTAAAGGTATCCTTTTCCTTTTCGGTTTTCTAACTGAAAATGGAACTTAGTTTCTAGTAAGACTATCATCTTGATTGATCACAAATCATTACAGACCGTTTTGAGCATAATACCTAAATGAGTCGTGGTATTAATGACTAATAATCGCCTTTATATTAGGTCTTAAAGCTTTATTGTCCCGAAGTACAACCGGTTTAGTGGAACATGAAAGGCCGGAACGATCCGAGATGCCTGCTGGGGCTACAGCCAATACTGTAAGGTGTTTGAATCGCCTTTAACAGCGCCGGCTGGGATTACAGCCCCTTTCAAAACTCAGTCATTGAGGTGACTTAAAATAATCATCTTCTTTCCAGATAGCGCCTGGTGCCGAGCGCTTCCCTCCTTCCCCAAAGTCTTCGCGCGCTCGAACATCTCCGTTTGGCCTCATTTTTGTGCTTCGGTGGTGTCTGCACAGCCCAAATTAGCAGCGAGGATTCCACGGACGGGGGCCGCCGCCTCCCTCGGCTCCCAGGTGAGGTCCCGGGGCGGGGGGCGGCTGGCAGGGCTCTGGACTTTCTCCGCATCCCCCCTGGCCCCCGCTGCGCTTGGCCGGGCCGGGGGCTCACCGCAGGTGTCGGGGGGACAATTTTGGGTTGTACCGGGACAATGCGGGGCCAGCCCCGCGCGGGGAGCAGGGCTGGCGGAGCCCCGTGCCCCGGCCGGGTCCCCGCCGCCGGATAGCAGGGATACTTGTCATATTTGCGGTCGGGGCGCGCTGGCACCCGCCTTTGTGCCGGCCCGGCGCTCCCCGGGGAAGCCGCGGCGGCGGCGGGGGCCGGGGCACGCGTGGGCAGCGCGGGGAGCCGGAGCGGGGGAGGAGGAGGAGGAGGAGGAGGAGCAGGAGCAGCGGCAGCAGCCGCGGGGGTTGGGGGGGCGGGGGAGGAAGGCCGGGGCCGAGGCGGAGCTTTGACGCGGGCCGGAGGGTGAGGAGCTCGCCGGAGCCGCCCCTGTCGTCAGTGCTGGCGGCAAGTGCTGGGAGCCGGGGCTGGTGGTGCCTCCTCCTTCTCCTCCTTCCTCTCCTCCTCCTCCATTGTATAATGCTGCGTGATCGCAGCCGCCGGGGCAGAGCGGAGGCTTAAATCCTCACGCCGCCTGCTCCTGCCTCCTCCTCTTTTCCTCCTCCTCCTCCTTTCCTCCTCCTCCGCATCCCACCCGGCCCCTCCCCGGAGCGGCGAGGCGAGGAGCGACATATGGAGCTGCTCTAGGGCGAGAGTTTCCGACCTCCTCCTCTCCATGCTTTAGTTCTCAGGTGGAGCTGCATGTGGTGAGTGGGGCTGGGGGGCTGCGAGGCATCGGGGTGGGGGGGGCAGGGGGCGGCGAGCCCGGGGCGGGGATCCTCCCCCTGTCCTCCGGGGAGGGTGGGGGGGTTCGTGCTGAGATGAGCAGAGGAGGGAGAGCGGCGAAGTTGCCTAAAAAACCCCCCCCCCCCCCCGCCGATGCGGGGGGATCCCGAGCCGAAGCAGGTGCGGGGAGCTGGAATGTACTTTTCTGTCGAGGTGGCTGTGCCGGCCCCGGCAGCGCGGCCGCCTGTGCTCCCCGGAGCCGGGCTCCCTCCGACGCCAGGAAAGCCGCGGCACCCCGGTAAGTTCGGTGTGCGCCCCGGAGCCCCTGGAGCTGGGGGCTGCAGCCCGGCTCCGTTCTCCCAGCAAGAGCGGGGGATTCAGGGAGCGCCGAGAAGTGCGTGCTGTAGTGCCGGGGGAGCTGAAAGGGCCTGGGGGAGACTTTCACTCCGCTGTAGCAAAGCTGACATATGGCTGGGCAGGACCCGGCTGGCCCCGCTGCCCGGCCCTTTTCAGGGGTTGGTGTTAGGGCTGGGGATTAGCCTGTCTTTTCCCTGAGCAATAGCGCGCATGGGTCTTCCTTGGGAGCACCGCCAGCGCGGAGAGGCAGAGGCGTCAAGGGGGGATTTTGTGAGTAAGGTGGTGCATCTTTTGGAAGAGACGGCAAAAATGTATATTTATTAGGATTTTCTTCGGGGTTGATGAACACTTGAAGAAAAATCCTTTTGCGGTGCCACTTTGATTTGGAGCGTTGGCTGCTTTATTCACATCAGGATCTGGAAAAATAAGTTATTCCTAAGCATGAAAATAGAAGTACAGTTACCTGCTGTCATTTCTTGCATTTTGTGAAACACAGCTGCAAAAGCCAGGGCCACTTTAGTTGGAAATCTATGGAGAGGCTCGTGTGCTGTCCAGTGGGCCCCTCGGTGGCTGATTTGCAGCTGTGGGTCAGCTGCTGGTGTAAAATAAAGCGAATCTGCCCATTTTATCTCCATCCGGGGGGGAAAGGCTGTCAGCTTCTTCAGCCGAACTTCAGTGCAGCACGCCAGAGCTGTTGCGTGTGGCAGCGTGTGCTCAGACAAATCCGAGGCTCTCGGGAGCAGGGAAATCCAGGCTTTTTCATCTGGTGCCTGGTGCAGTCATCAGGGTGACTCTCCCTGCCGTCAGTGAGTGCTGGATTTTGCCACTCGAGAATGCACTATTGCTCAAACAGCGGTGGGAGAGGGCTTGGCTGCCCCAAACACCAGTTTTGTATTTGCGTCTCTCAAATGAGTGAGCACTTGCAATGTGTGTGAGTTCAAACAACGCTTTCTAGCTTTTTTTCATTCTGATCATTTTAGGCATGCATCTGCACGAGTGAAGGTTCCTGTGTCTTATGGACTTCTCACAGGGTACAAAATTGACAGAGGCACTTCAGTTTGCATCTAAGGGCACAGGAAGCTTTCACATGGTAAAACAAACTATAAAAACGAATTATGTTTTCAAATGATTGCTACAGAAATTAGCCAGCTGATTTAGCAGGGGAAATTGAAACTAGCCCTTTCTGGCTGAAGTTAAAATGCATGCCTTTGGCATAATAGGATGGCATCTTTGGGCTCTCATATAACATCGTGAACCAGGTGGTGGTAGAGAGAGGAGGAGGATTAGGAGTTTGTGCTGCTGGACAGGTATCCAAGAGCGTTTCCTTCGGAATCCTTCCATTGTTCAGGCAAGTATTGCAGCATCCAATGTAACAGCTCTAGATATTCCTCCTCTCGTGACTGATCCTGCTTCCATTTAAGTTGGTAGCAGCAGCCACCCACTCCTTTTCTGCAGGAACTGGATTGGACTGCTGAACAAACGAAGCTAGACTTTGTGCATATTAAAATGCTGCTTTGATTTTTGTGTCAAGCTGATTTCTTTTTCTCTGAAGCTGATTGGAAACAAACAAAAAGAAACCTGATAGCCATAGGTCCCTCAGGTTTTGTCTTAAAGTGTGTTAAATACATCTCTAGGTGCTGATTTATTAAGAGTTGTAATTGTGTTTCTTTATACACCTGCTCTTTTTTAATGGGAAAGATGAAATAAAGATTTTCACAGGGGAAATAATAACATAAATATACCAAGTGCTCAAATTGTCTGCCTGAGAGGCATCAAGGACTTTGAGATAATGTCCTAATAGCAAGGAAGCACTCAAACTTCATATTCAAAATTTATTTTTTTAGCTTCCATGAAGTACAGCAGATTTTATGCAGTATCTAGTTTGAAGGATTTTGCCATCATTCACACAAGCTGCTTTTTGTTTTTCAATAAATATTTCATTGGGAAAACATTTTTTTTAGGAACTCTGACTTTTTTCACACTGATGTAAAGCACTCCTGGCACAGTTCATCTCTGGCAGTGCTAACACTAGACAGATGATCCAAAGTATTTGTGACTATTTTTGCTTTTATGTAACATCTTAAAAGTGTAATCTGTCAAACAAGGAGAAGGCAGTACTTTGAAAGTGCGAGTAGTCTTCTGGTGATCTACTTCTCATAAGGGCCAGGTAGCAAGAGAGACACCTCCTTTTAACTCAGCTCTGTAGTGTAACTGGCTCACAAGGAGACAGCTCCAGTTGCAGTGGTTCCTAAACATGCGCACGAATCCTTGCCAGAAATAGCAGCTTTCAGTTACCAAGTCCAAAGATCAGGAGTGTTTCAAAGGAGAGAGCAAGGTTCAGCTTCAATGTAAGCAGGTTGGCACTAAGCAGAGATCTTTAGTCTTGATGAATCTTTTGCTAATTAGTGGTTTGTGGAAGATGAAATTTGCCAATCTGAGCACAGCACTCATTTTCTTCAGGGGTATATAATTGCATGTTTTCTGCCACTTCTTTTGATTTCTAAACTTTCATCAGTTAGAGAAACTGCTGTCATGAAGAGGTGCCTGTTTTCTGTAAACAGAGAGACTCTCAACATGCGTTAGTTCTTTAATTCTTTTATAAACAGAGTCAATTTTTGTGTTTGCTGTAGTAGAGGCTTCAGGTTTGTTCAGCATTACCAATGCAAACACTATAACAAAAATAAGATAACAATGCTCGGCTGTTCAACACGAGTGGGGAAGGCAAGGCCTGTGAATGCTGTGCTAACACTGCTCCTGGGTGTGCTGAAGTGTAGCCCAAGCTGAGGTCCAAAGCAAACGTGTGGCTGGGAGGCAGCAGAGGTTGAGTGGGAGAAACAGGCTTGTGTGTGTCACAGCAGGGTCCTGCCCTGTCTCTTGGCTGTGTGGGTATTACACTGTGTGTCACTGTGCAGAGCACAAACTGCACTGCCACCATGTCTGCCTCCCCGATGGCTCCTGTGAGCGTGTCAGATGCTGGCTGTCATTGCTGAGCGGCCAGGAGGAGCTGTGAAGATGTGCTGGCTGGGACATTCCTGCAGCACAAAGGGGATTTTCGGGGTGGGGAAGGCCTGATGCGACGGGCATTTCCAAGGGAGAGTTGGGGCAGTCTCCAGGGGTGAGGGGTGCAGCCTCAGAGCCTTCAGAAAGGGCTTTAAGCTCTGACTGGGGGTGGGAAGGCTTGGAAGGACCGAAGAAACTGGTAAGTCACCAGAGAGCAAGTTTTTGGTTTTCATGTGTCCCTTCTTTGAGGGTGGAGGCTCATCTAGCTCAGGTGAGACAGCAACCACCACCACATCAGAGTGACACTGGATTCAGGCTGCTGCAGTGAAATTAAAGCCATGCTCAGAGCCCTGCATTAGGCCAGGTCAGACCGCTGCTCTTCGAGTGAGGGGCCATGTTTGGTACCCTCCTCAGCTTGGTGCATAAAATCAGAGGGATTGCCATAGGACTGAAGTTCCCAACCTGTATAACATGATCAGTGTTTTGAGTACCATTGGTTTTAAATTTCTCCTTAATATCACAAATTTCACCTTAATATCACCCTGGAATTGAGTTTTAAGTGGCATTGAATGACATGACTCTCTGTGTAATTATTAGGAGCCAAAACCTGTTTACTTTGCTTGCACACCAGTAAGGTGTAAAAGCAAAGTAAACAGTTTGTTTTCAGTGAAGTTGGAATAAAAATGGAATTCTTGGTATGGAATACAGAGAGAAGAGTTCAAACATGGGTTGTTTTCTTTTAATGTAATATTGAAAACTGGGTAGTATATGGAAGTAGCAGAAAAAAGAAGTTCCCTTTTTCAAGGAGTCCTGAATTTGTGGAAAGATCTAAACTTGCCCTAATACTTCCTCAGATGTAACAATTAAAACTGTTTTTCTTGATCCCAGGTTTTCCACCCCGGAAACCCTTGTACTGTTTGAGCCACACTCACCTTTAATGGAAATGTGACAAGTATTGGCTGTTTTCATACAGTTACTTATAGTAGCCTCTAACATTAGTCTTAAAAAGCCCTCCTGTCGTGCCAGGCAGGCAATAAGGTTGAGTGAACTGTGCTATAGCAAGAACCACCCATGATTGGAGGTAAACTATGCGGATATATGTTGGGGTGGAGGTTGAAAGGAGCGTGGAGGGCATATTTGAAGCAGACTGTGCAACTGCTATAGCAGGTCTGACTAGTTTGAGATGCCTAAAGGCAGCTTTGTCTTAACTTCAGGTAGCTGCAAAATGAAGTTTTAAGTTCTAATTCAGAAGTACATCATCATCATCTTCCGGTGCCTCCACAAACTTTACTTTTCATGTGTTTTTACAGGCACTCTTTCTCCTTGGAAAAAAGCCTTTAGTAGGTACACATCCACGTGCATGCATATCATTTGCATATTTTTCAAATATGCATTTCATCAAGATAGGAGACTAGCGTTTGTGTGCAAACCACAGTGTTTTTTTTGAACAGTGGTGGTTACGTTTTGCTTTCTCACTGCTCTGTGGGCCTTGTGTGAGACAAGCCACTCTATTACAGCACTTTAGGCACGGCCTGATTTGCTGTGGGTCGGGTCTCATGCCTGCTCCTGGCCCTGTGTCAGAGCAGTGCCTTCATCTTCAGGAGCCTGTGCTGTCGTCACAGGGATTTTGGCCAGGATTCTCACTCCCATGGGGTCCAATAACCTGCTTGGGTTACTCTGCTGGGACCTGGCTCCCCCTTTCCCCCTCCTGTTCCATCTGCTTGGTGAAATTGGCTCTTCTGAACAACCCTTCCACTTTCCTTCTCTAACTAAAGTGTTCCACAAATAGCTTGTGAATGAATAGAAGAGAGAGAATATTTTCTCTGTGAGTGACACACAGTGTCAAGCTTCCTGTCGCTGCTCTGCTTCCCCTTGCTGGCAGGGGCACACACGTGATGTGTGTGTGCTTGGATGAGGACTTTAATTGTGGGGAAAATCAGTATAATACTATCATGGGTGAGGTGAGTGGGTTGTGCCTGACTGAATATGAAATAAAGTTTCAGACATTTCATTTCCTGAGCTGTTCTCTTTCTGTATTTTCCGCTCCTGATTTCCAAATTTTCTAAACTAAATTTTAGTTTGTGGTTTAGTTAGTTTCTTCTGTGTTAATTAACATGTCCTAACCATGCCTCAAAATACAGGCTTAATACAGACACATGGTGTCAAAATATGCTGTTAAAAATGTGCTTTCCTATAAGTTTAAATTATTTACTTGTTAAAGTCTAAATTACTCCACATAGAAGAGACGTGGGTCCCATGGTGGCTGTTTTAAAGAACATCTCTTCTGTATAGTACTTTTTGTTGTGAAATCAAGCAGGTGCAATGAAAAATGGAATCTCTTTTGTCTCTAACTCATAGCTATTACAGGTTGAGAATAGCTCAAGGTTGGCCAAAGTTCCCTTTAGTCAGTTTTCAGAAGGATCCTGTGTAGGACATGGGAACACGTGTTTTATTTCAACAAATGCATGAGCTTTAGTGCACTGGACTGAAAGGGCAGCAGTTAGCATCTTCTCCAACATCATTTAACACCATCTGAGCAAACTTTCTTGTCAAATTTTAACTATGTTTTAAAAATTTGTTTTGTTTTCACTGGTGGGGGAGAAATGTCCAACAGCTTTTTCACCTCTTTAAGAGAAGCTTGCAGGGTGAGTGGATTCTTTTTCATAGAATGTATTTGTTTGCAGGGTTGTGTTCCTTTTATTTAAGTAAAAATGTTGGAAACAACTCATGTGCTTGTTAAGCTACTTCAAAAAATGCCACGGAAACACCTTTCTTTTCTCCTAATTCTCAGTAGTGCAAAACTGGGTAGCAAATAAAATTTGCAGGCCAGAAACTAAAATGACTTGTCATTGGTGGGATTTGTATGGTGCATTTGCAGCATATATTTCTTCAGAGGATTTTTTTTTCCTTTCTCCTCTTCTTCTCTCCTGCCATTTGCTGCTTTTCAGTTTGACTGTGATAATTTATTCAACACTGTTTTCAGAGCAATAACCTACTTTTTGGCAAACCATTCAGTTCTTTCAATAGTGTGGGGGTCCCTCCCTACCATGTGTTTATTAAGGGTCCATGACAAGGGGGAAAAACAAGGTATCTTCAGGGAGAAGATGCTACGATAGGATTCAAACAAAGTAATTATACATAGGTGAGAAAAACTCCCTTATTATACATGAAGGGGTCTCTCCCTCATGGGTGCACACCCAATTCTCATTAACCTTTGCAGGAATTGCACAGGTCCAGTGGAGATGGGTGTGCAGTGCTCAGTCCCTGCACACACTAAAAATAAAAGGCAGCCCGTGCCACGTGCGTGCCAATAGAGATGTCGTGTTCAACACAACACAACACAACGGCGCCGTCATCCATTGTTCTGTGTGCAGGGGAGGAGGGGTGCACAGCCAGCCTGGCTGTTTCATCATTCTCCCTTAGAGCTGACCAGCAGCATCTTGTCATTATAGGCGTGTAATTTTAGCAGTGAAAAGGGAGTGAGTGTGTGTGTATGTGTGTGTTTCTCGGCCTGTGTCACTTTCTGGTCGCTGTTCTAGGTCTTTCAGATGATTGTTTTGAATTTCATTTACAAGCGAGGTGTCTCTTTTTAGACAGCGCTTGATCTGTGCCAGTGCCTGCTGGCTCTGCAGTGGGAAGGAATGGAAGGCAGTCTTTGCTGCACTGGGCCCTGGAGCAGTACACAGCCATCTTAATTGCTGCTGTTCCTCCTCTTGAAGAGATGGCTCTGGTTCTCCCAGCATGGAGTTGTGTGCGCCGGCTCCAGCGTGGCTCCTTGCTCACTGACACGGGAATTCATGGTGTTGTGGTGCTGCCTGTGGGACCAGCAACCTCCTGCTTCCATGCAAGGAGGCTCAGAGTGCAGCACTTGGGGGAAGAAACAGTGGTGTGGAGCAGGAAGAGCTGCTGGGCTGATCCCAGGGATGCTTGTGTGTAGAAGCCCTTGCATTGGGTTGCCATTGCCAATGCACCCATATTTTTGGGTGCCAACAAGCAGAGTCTGCTGAATAATCAGCTAATCCCGTAGTAAAGTCAGGGGATCTGGCCCAGTGCTGTGCCTGGTTTGCTTTACTGCAGCTCTGATTTCCTGCTGCTGATGCTCAGGTGTGTAAAGCAGCTCCTGGTCCTTCAGCAGATTGCTGAGCCCGTGTGTTCACAGCACAGTAGAACTCAATTCACACTTGGCAGGCCTGGCTGCTTCTTTAACGCTGCTACATGGAGACCCAAATTTGAAAACAGCCTCAGCCTGGCTCTTTTTGGTGTCTCTCTGAAGCACAGAGCCCAGGTAAGCTGACCCCCAGGGAAGGAGGCTCCTGGTGGTGGCTCAGACACTGTTGTGAGTAGACCGTGTGTGCAGCCATCCTGGGAAAGGATGCAGAGGAGATTTGGCACAGAGGTGGCCTGAGATAAGGGCAGCTTTCCCATCTCCTGGAAAATCTCTCCCCCCTCAGTAGGTAGCCCTAACAAAGCATCTTCTGGTGGTGGGAAGGGGGGACAGCTTCGCCCTGATCTGGCTCAGAGCTGGTGGTTGGTGGTCAGCAGGGCCAGGCCTGTGAAGGGCTGTGGCAGGGTTGGCAGTCATGGACAGTGTGATTCCTAAAGCTTTCAGTTAAGGACGAGACCAAAAAAGGGCAGGCTGGGGGCTTGTTTGCATCTTCTGGGCACTGTTTTATAAGGAAGCACACGGGAAGTCCTGTCTGAAGCACAACATGTGAGGATTGACATTTTGGCTTTGAGATCTTTGAGTCAGAAATCAGTTTCTGCTGGGCAATCCAAACCTGTTCTGCTTTTTTCCAGTAAAGACTACCGCCTGCCTGTATGTAAATGTTAAATAAATGTTTTCCAACCCTGGTGTGTTACCCTGGTATATTCTCCCTCTTGCTTTGCACTGAAAAGGAATTGTCAGAGTTGCACAGGGCTTTTGCTCTTGCCTTCAGCCTCACAGTGGTTTGCAGTGTGCCTTGCTGGCTTTCCATGCTCACAACCTGTGCAGTCTTGTCCACCTTCTGGTTCTGCCAGGGCAGCCTTTAATGCTTTAACAAGCTAACAAGTGCTCCTCTGATTTAAACTTGCATTAACTTCTGCTACCCTGATAGAATTCCTAATATTATAAACACCCTTAATAACATGGCTATAATCTAGAAAACCTGCTGTCCTTTTTCCAAACAATTACTTAATGAGGCAGTAATTTATTCTAAGCTATATTTATTGGAGCCCATTCCAGCTTTATCAGACGTATCAGACGTGGTTGGATGTGTGCAGTTAGTCAAAAACATTAAAACTGCTCCACTTCTTCCAGGGGAACATGTTACATTTAGCAAACTGACAGCATTAGAAACTGTTTCCAATTTAATAGAAGCATATGTTTCCTGCAAGGCTTAACACGCTGCAGAGTCAGAGATTGCCTTCCACTGCGGCTTTGCCTTTTTTTAGCGTGGTGAAAAAGAGCTGCAAACTGAAGGCAGAAGTGGAGTTTGTGTTTCTGGTTGTTTTGCAGAGATCCTTCTAGCAGGGCTTCGGCGGGCTGCAAGTTTAAGAAACTCTCAAGAAAGTGATGTGGGCGGTGCACACAGAGCTCTCGCTCCAAATGCAGTTTCTGATCATGAACAAACAGCGAGAGCTCGCTTTGCCCTCTGGGCCTCAAATAGTACAGTATGCAACAAGGGAGAGCAGGCAAGGCACGAGGATGGAAACAGTAGGATCAGATTACAGTTTCAAAATATCGCTGGAACACGTTGGCTGGCGTTACACTATTGACTGGCTTTATAATTGCATTGCTTATTTGCTAGGGAAGGCTTCACCTTACTTTCTGATTAACGTGGGCACTCCTTCGGGGACCCGGGGACTCCGGGCTCTGAGTATCAAAGGCAAACCCCGTGAGACCTGCACAACTTCAGATGCTTCTCAAATGAGAGTCTGAGCTTCCTCTGTTGTCTCCTGTTTGCCAGAGGTTTCCTTACACAGCCCCTATTGAAGTTCTACTTAGAATAGCCTCTAACAGTCACCCACTATGGTTTTCCTCCTTATTTTGATTTTAACTGGAGAGGAGAAAAGACCCCTGTCACTCAGCTTGCTAGCTGCTCCTTGCTCAGTCTTCACTCTGTGTGAAGTGCCTGAAGCAGGGGGCTAAGGCTGTGTTTCTGCAGGGAGAGAGAAGCTGCCTGTCTTGCTAAATGCAGCAATGGGGTGCTGAGGAGCTTTACTTGCTTCTCTGTTTCTTCTGGAAGAGCTGAGGTTTACCCATCCACCACAGGAGACGGGGAAGAGTTAGGTCCCTGTAAAATATGTGTGAGAAATACCTGCCACTTAGAATTACTGCTGGCACTGACAGCCTTGCAGTGAAGGCTTGCAAACATAAAAACAATCCCCTGTACTCTCTGGAAGCAGAGAGCTGCCCAGGAGGCCAATTTTTTTATATACTCTAAAGGAGAGTTTTGTAAGTGCTTATTAAACCTCACTCAGTTAAAAAAAAAATTAAAAAGGGCAGCCAGAATTAATGTAAAATGTGTCAGGGAAAACAAACCTTGTAAATACAGAATGTCTGAGCACTGGCCTGGAGAGGACAGAAACCCCTGCACAGCTCCATTCCCCCTGCCTTTCTTCGGGGCTGGTGGGATTTGTTTCCTAACTCCCATGTGGCATGAGACACAGTTCTTACCAGGCAGCGTTGTCAGGAGTCCTCTTTAGCCAGGCAGCATGGATGCAGTACACTCCAACGTGTGAAAAAGCATCAGATCCCGAGAAAGCAGCCTTGTGGGGAAAAAAAAAAATAAATTAAAGAACACTCCCCCCCTCCCCCAGCCCCCGTCCGGGCCGGTCGGTTCACACCCTGCAGGCAGCTGCAGCACAGCACAGGCAGCGGGGCCGTGCAGCTCCGCATGGAACAGGCTGTCCCAGCTCGGGGATGCTGCCGTGCCAGGCTTTAAACACTCCGGTGTCAGCAGATGAAATCCCCAAGGAGGGGCCATTTCCACCCAGCTCTGGCTGCTGCCTGTGAAAGTCCATGTTGCTCGTTCGCTCCAGCCCTGCAGTCAAACCTCGACACCTGGGCTGCTCAGCTTTCCCCCTTGTTTTGAGCGGGGCTGGGAGAACCTGCCAGGTTTATACTGGCCTTCCCTCTGCTTTTCCTTTGTAACTCTCAATGGGAGGAGGGTGCCAGTGCTCTCAGATGTCTGCCTTCCACCTGCTGGGGCAGGTTTGCTGTGCTTGCCAGGATCCCACTGGCCAAGGAGCATCCTTCTGTAGTGGGTGAGCCCATGGTCCTTCCCAAGGGGTCTTCTACAGATGTGTCCGTTCTCTCTCTTGCTGTGGCCTTGGGGATGTGGAAACTGGGACAGGGAGAGAGAGGTTTACTGGTTTGCCTCCCTAGCTCTAGGGGACAGATACTTTGAAGTTGTGGAGACTGGTGACAAGTTCAGGTGGTCCCTCAGGCTGGGTCCTGCAGCACTGAAATACCTCACAGCAGCTCAACCTACCTCTGTTAGCTCAGAGGGTCTTGCCAGTTGAACACAGTTGGCATAAAAGGCCTTTTTATTTTGGTCCTGCGGCTATCTGTGCCAAATCCTCATTCTGCTGAAGTCAGTAACAAAACACCCATTGACTACCATTGAGCCAGGATACAACCAATGGACCCCTCAAGGATGAGGAGTGAAGGATGGAGGAGAGGAAAATTGTATTTCATGTGCCAGAAGTGACACAGAAAGCACTTCCATAATTCACCGGGTAGGTTATTTGAGAAAACCTGGTGAGGGTCACTTACATCTGAGGTTTGTGAACTTAGGGGAATGAAGTGTACAAATTCAGTGCTCTCATTGCACTCTGGAGGCTCTTATGGGGGAGCTTTGGTGTTGTGGGGTTTTGTTGGGTTTTTCCATGCACATGTGTGAAGTAGCATTTTATTTTAATTCCCCCAAGTTGCCTTTTTCTTTCTCTCTCCTTTTTTACCCTCCTGTGGTTTGAATTGCCTAAGACTTCAGAAAGTAGCTGGTCCTGCTTTAAACTCCTCTTCTCGCACAACCCCTGTGGTTCACACCTGTGTTTTGGTGTTTGGCTGCCTGGAGGGGAATGGTTGCCTGTGGACTCAGGGATTTTGATGCTTTTACCTTTTTGAGCAACATGATGTTTGTTCTAAAAGTAACCTCAACTCTAATAAGCTAATTATTTACAATTTATAATAAGCTGTTCATCCTCTACACTGACAGAGGGGGTGGTGTAAATCTGTGTGTGGAAATGTGACTTCTTAAAAGACCTTTTCTGCTGTTTCTCTTGATGTTCAGTTCCTCCTTCTTTTTTTCTTTATTCTCCTTCCTGTCTGTCTCCATGAACAGGGAGGGCCTAGTGGATTGTGGAATTGATTTCCAAGATGAGTTTTCGGTCTTGAGAGGTATTTTAAACTTAATTGTTAATAGTCTTTGAGAATTAAAATTACAGGGTTTTTGTTGAGCAAAATCACTTTTCCTCTCAATTTTTACATATCTGGTGCTTTTCTATGCCAAAGTGCCGATTATTGAAGACTTCAGAAATAATCTGGCAGTATTGAAGTGTCCAAAGCACAATCAATAAACACAGTGCTCCTCTTACAATCTACACGTACCTCTGTCCTCCAGAGAGCGAAGGATTCATCACTGGGTGGGCTCAGAGACACAGGCATTGCACGAGCTCTTCTGTCTTTCATCGCTGAGGGCCGACTCCAAAGAACCTTCCACTCCAGGCTGATTATGTCTTCTACTGAGCCCCAACTGCTTTTCTTTCCAGCTCTGTCTGAAGAGCATGCAGAGCCAATAAAAGGAAGCTAAATGACACGCAAATGAGGAAAAAAAATATACTACTTTTGTTTTTCAATTAAGAAAAGACAGCTCCCAAACAATGCTAGGGTTTCTCTGGCGCTGTGGCGCGTGCAATCGCCCTAAATGGGCAAAAAAGCAAGTAGTATCTTTGTCAGCAACAATGGTCTAGCTTTTGGTTCTGGGTCTTCCAGAGCTGGAGCCAACTGGTAGATAATATTGGGGAAGATCTCCAAGTAACTCCCCCTGCCCCAATCCCCAGAAAGATGCAGCTTTTCCATTGTCTTTCTTCACCTTTCTGCTTCCACATACCTAAGAAACATTGAAAACTCACTTGCAGACCAAAACCCTGCAACACCCTTTATTACAACAGCAACAACAACAACAAAGTGACGTCCAGTCTCAACTCTTAACACCCAGCCTCAAAATTGTGTTTAGCAAATGGATGAAAGTGCAGCAGAATTACATCTGGCTGAGGTTGCTGCTCAGCAAAATAGATGCATGAAAGACCTTCCATGAGCATTACCCTTTATTTCTGCCTGTGCAGTGCCACGTTTGGATGGGTTGGTGTTGTCTGGCTGCCCTTGTCACAGCTGTATGGCTTGGTTGGACAGCTCTCTTTTGACACCTGGGATGGTGCGGGTTTGTCTCTTTATGTACTGATCTTTGGTCAAGCTGATCTTTTAAGTTTGGCATTTTCATTTTCCCAGCAGGAGGTTTGGCTGGAAAGGCTAGAAGCAAAGTTTTTGAGATGAACAGAATTGATTGAGATCAAATGCTGGTATCGTACAGCTTCCTTTTTTTTTAAATGTTATTCTTTATCTTAAGACATACAACACTGATCCCTTTAATGCAGGCATGAAAGTGATTGGTTGAAGGAGGGAAGAGATGGTTTGAACTGTAAAGAACAAGCAGGCAACATTGTCTTAAGCTTTGATGGTCAGACACTATGAAATTCCTTTTTGAAGAGCCAGAGACAGACTTGCAAGCCCCCAAGCATGTCTTATTTTACCAACTCTTATCAGTTGGTCTAAGAAGATATCACCTCCTTGCTTCGCTTGCCATGAATGAAGTGATTTCTGGAAACTGGAGGAAAACATTCTTTACAATTCCCATTGGCACGCCAGAGGAGAAGGGGATAAAATAAAATTTTACAAAGCCAGGAGTCTAGCAGTGCTTATTTGAGCCCTCTCCTTGGTGGAATAAAGCCTCCATGCTTAGGCTGACATCCTGCTTTGGTGCTTTAGGGGTTAAACCCTCTTCAGAGAGTATTAGTGGGGAAAAAGGAAACTGAAAGCTGTGCTGAAAAGCTAGTAGGTGAGCCTGGGAGTTGCCTGATCTATTTTATCTTTTAAAAGGGCAAGCTCTGAATCAAGCTACAATGAAGATGGAGTGAGATGTGAAAGCTTGACAGTCACACATACAGGAAATCTTGAATTATCTCTGAGCTTCCTGGAAAATGACGTAGTGAGGTTATCATAGTATTTACTCAGTGATGATCCCACAGTTCTTACTGATCAGCTTTAAATAAGTGTTCACTACCAGCACCTCAGTCTTGGGTGGAAATGGGCTTGGTTGGGTTTGTTGGAAATGCTTGGCAGCGTCACCTGGCAATGATGAATAACTGAGCACAGGGAATGGAGCCTGGGCTGTTTTCTTTATCATGGGGGAAAAGGTTTGCTTTGTACAGGGAATGTTTTTATACATTCCTGGCAGAGGCTGACAAACTTCAAACTCTTCTAGTCCCGAAGCCATTTAAAAATGTCTTCTTTAAATAGAGCATTGTAGAAGGAGCACTGCTATGTCTTTAGGTCAGAGTCTGTCTTTTTTCAGGGGGAGGAGATAGCAGGAAGGGATGGAAAGCTGCTCATCTCCTCCTAACCCCATGCTGCTTTAAAAACGTGCTGGAATTGGGCAGGGTTTTTAATTCTTGCTAGCCCCATCCTCCCTTTCATGCTCTTATCTGTCTGAAGTGAAAGGAAGCGTGTCTGCTGTGAACACTGGAATAGCAAAGCCCCCCGCTCGCCCCCCAGACCCATGTGAGCAGCTCCAGAGTAGTCCATGGAAGTGACACTAGGGAGCAGAGAAAAGCCAGACTTCACCAGCAGTGCTAAATTTCAGAGGTTTTGTTCACCCGAGATTCCAGGCGCAGGAATTGCTGGTAGCTGGCCAAGCAGCTTGGATGGCAGCCTACCTGTTCCTCAGCTCTGCTCAGCCTGCTCCCTACCCACCCCCCCCCTTTCTTTTTTTAATTGCATAATATGCTAGAAAATTATCTGGATTTGGGACTTATTTTTAACCAGAAGAGGCTCGCTTCATCCGATCTGGTTTTTGATTTACCACCCAGCAAATGCTCCCTGAGGCTCTTGTAGCACTGAGACCCTGACTTCTTTAGCCTCCTCTTCTGCTTTCCAAGGGTCTCTTTGCTCTTAAATGTTTGTCTCTGTTGTTAAACTGTGTTGTCTGTCTGCTGAACTGGTGTGTGATATCAAACTGTGTTAGACCTGCCTGGTGCAGTTGTTTTGCAGGCAGTAATTCCACTGGGTGGATTGGGAATTGTACTCAAATAAGGAAGGCAAATTTTGTCTCCTAGATGATAGCTGCATAATGTGAGAAGGGGTCTGGGGTAAAAATCTGTATGGCCATTGCAACTTCTTTCTAGATACCTGTGGCTAGAAAGCCTCTTCCACTTTTGGGGGGATTTTTTAGGTTTTTTAAGGTTTTTTTTCTCTTTAAACAAGGCAGACTTCTTCATGCCAGAAGAATTTGTTAAACAGAGGGAAGGATACAAGAATGAACAGGGAGCTCCTTGTGATCATATTAAAAGAGTGAGCGGGTTAGAGCTCCAGCACCTCACCGTTCTACCTGAGAAAATGAGGGAGCATAATGCCAGCTTGTGCTACTGTCACAGCACAGCAGCTCCTTCATTCCTCTGCGTTTGGGGGGATCTTGGTGTCACAAAAATAATGGTCACAAAATGATGTTGGGACTGTGCTGTGTACAGGAGCATTTCCAGGCACTCTGAAACATCCTGGAAGAGATGGCACTGGGGACTGAACTGCCCTACTTAATCTTAGCTCAGAAATTATTTATAATATGGGGCAAATATTGGTAAAATCCCCTTTGTTTCCTTTAAAATCTGCCATCTGACCAGCAGCAGAGTGTAGTGCAGAGAGTGGTCTTGAGGATTAGAGTAAAAGACTTGACAGATCTTCTTCTTCTTCTGTAATATATCTAATTCTGAGTATAATAACTGCATTTCCTGCTCTGGTACTTTAGTCCTTAGGCTATCAGCTAAATAAACCCATATGTGTATATCCTGGTGTACCAAAGGGCTGATCTCCCAACCTCACTGGGGAAGTTTCTCTCAACACACAATTGCTTGAGCCTCACTTCCCTTCCCCTGCGAACACACTTTTCAATAAAAAGAGGAAATTCATTGTGAGAACTTCAGTGCTTTACATTTGTATTCCCAGGCATAGCACTGCCTCAGTCAGGGAATGTAAGGAAACGTTCAGTACAGTGCCTGTGGCTCATGCTCCTATGGACAGGTATTTGCTTAATGTAAGAAAGAGGAAATTTGCTGCCAGGCATGCCAGATCTTGACTATTATAGATGCTGTCTGAATTCCTGCTTGGAATTCACCAGCACAGCCATGCCTAAACATGGATGGACCAGAGCCCTGTGTTAGGGTGGCTGCTGCTTGCCCATCACGCTGCTGTGGGCCAAGGCTGACTTATTGATGGGGACAGATGTGCACCTGCCTTGCTGCCTTCATCCGTCTCCTCTCTTCCCTTGCAGATATATGTTGGGGAAAGGAGGAAAGCGGAAGTTTGACGAGCATGAAGATGGGCTGGAAGGCAAAGTGGTGTCTCCCACTGACGGTCCCTCTAAGGTGTCTTACACCTTACAGCGTCAGACTATCTTCAACATTTCCCTTATGAAACTTTATAACCACAGGCCATTAACCGAGCCAAGCTTGCAAAAGACAGTTTTAATTAACAACATGTTGAGGCGAATCCAGGAAGAACTCAAACAAGAAGGCAGCTTGAGGCCCATGTTTGTGGGCGCTTCGCAGCCTGCCGACCCTCTCAGCGACAACTTCCGCGAGGCGCAGCCGGCGTTCAGCCACCTGGCCTCGCCGCCCCTGCTCCCCGCCGACCTGGTAAGCACTATGCCCCTGGAGTCCTGCCTCACCCCGGCCTCTCTGCTCGAGGACGACACTTTTTGCACTTCCCCGGCTGTCCAGCACGATGGTCCGACGAAGCCACCACCTCCTGCTCTCCAGCCAGTAAAGGACAGCTTCTCCTCAGCCTTGGACGAAATCGAGGAGCTTTGTCCAGCACCTACCTCCGCAGAGGCAGTAGCAGCTGAGCCGGCAGCCGGCGACTCGAAAGCCCAGCCCAGCGAGTCCAACATCCACAAGCCCGAGGGCCTCCTGGAGAGCAGAACGGCTGAATCCAAACTCATGGACCCCCTGCCTGGCAACTTTGAGATAACAGCTTCCACAGGTTTCCTCACAGACTTGACCCTGGATGACATTCTGTTCGCTGACATTGATACGTCCATGTATGATTTTGACCCCTGCACATCTGCCACGGGGGCTGCCTCAAAAATGGCTCCTGTCTCAGCAGATGAGCTCCTAAAAACTCTCGCTCCATACAGCAGTCAGCCAGTAACTCCAAATCAGCCTTTCAAAATGGATCTCACAGAACTGGATCACATCATGGAGGTGCTTGTTGGGTCTTAAAAATATTAGAAATATAGCAACTTTTTTTTTGTCTTTTTTCTTTTTTTTTTTTTTTTTTTTTTGGAAAACTAAGTGGTAAACTTCTGTCAGTGTACTCGCTTGTCTTTACAGACCCAAGCTTGTCTCCGATTCACAGCACTGTGCATGCATCCTTGCTTGCCTTTTTTGAAAAGAAAAGGATCACACTAGTTTTTGCTTCGAGCAGAGTTGGAGTGCCTTCNTTTTTTTTTTTTTTTTTTTTTTTTTTTTTTTTTTTTTTTTAATTTTAAGTACCAGTATATACACTTGGTAGTATTTCCATAGTCCCTCCCAGCCCCGATTCACAGCACTGTGCATGCATCCTTGCTTGCCTTTTTTGAAAAGAAAAGGATCACACTAGTTTTTGCTTCGAGCAGAGTTGGAGTGCCTTCATCCATGTATGACCACTTCTAATGTATTTTTTTTAAAGTGGTTCCTCAAGGAAGACCGAATATCCTGGTATAGGAAAGAATATGTATTGTAGACAATGTTATGTTATTACAAAAAAAAAAGAAAAAAAGGAAAAAAAAGGTAAAAGCTAAGCACAAGGATTATGTTGGGGAAAGCTGTAAATTGCATGTGCATACTTGTCTATTTTTTCTATAAGTTTTATTGCAAGAGGTAAAAAATTTTATTATTTAGATAATCTCAATACCATTTTAGCCCTGTATAGGTTGACTTTAGCAATTCAGCCTTTTGGAGGCATTAACCTGCTCCTCTTTAAGTGTTGCATTTACATGGCTGTTTAGAAACTGCTGCCCAAATTTATTTTATATTTTTGTACAGATTCTGCAGTTTATGGTATTGTTTTTTCTAAAAACAAATGCTGTTTATACACACAAAAAAATAGCTATTTTGATAGGATTTGCTCACATAGTTCCTGCATAATTCAGATGTACAAGAACCACTTGTACTTTTATACAGAGTTGTAATGTTTTATATGTGTATGGTGCAAAGAGAAAATTGGATCAAATAAGCCTGCAGTCGGTTTCCCTGAATGCAAACAAAAAAAAAAAAAGTGCTTTAAGAAAGGGCTGGGAGCTGCTTCTGCCGGAGTTTCACAAGTGTTTGCTCCCTGCTGTACCCACTGCGCACTACTGTGATTCCTGAAACTTAGAGCCATGTCCTTTCCAACACGTATGTGAAGCAGTTGGCAGGAAACAGTTGTGGAACTTCACCCCGGAGCTCCTGAGCGCTGCCGTGGCCGCAGCCCCCGTCCCGCCCCACCTGGAGCCTTAACCCGGCGGAGATCGGCACCTCCTGAGCCGGAGCTCCTGGCGATGGTGAGGGGAGCCCGGAGCCTGAGCCAGCCAGGCTCCCGTGGCACTCCCTGACTGACGGCGCGGGGCTGGGAGCGTGCGCTCGCCCTTTCTTGGAGCATTTCTCCTCCCCTCTCCCACCTCACTGTGCTAAGTGCTGAAAAAGGCAGCTTCAGTATTACTGCAGTGAAGCTCATCTCGTACCTGCACTGGATGGACTTGCTTCAATATCCATTGCTGTCGAAACTGGAGCCAGTCGTGTGACATCACTTGGCATCTCGTATAGAGTTGGGTTCTTCTTTCAACTGCGTTACCTGCTTTACACTTTATAGACCCGTTTTACAAGGAATATACAGACACAGCTTTCTATGCATGGTCCCCTCCCCCGTAACACCTGAGAAGTCTTCTTACTGCACCAATAGCTGGGTTTTTTTTTCCTGAGTTCGTTGTGGTGTACATTTAATTTAAAAAGAAAAAAATGTTTGCAATGTATCATGCCTATTGCTGAAGTTGCTATGGCATTTTAGTTTTCCAATGGTACTTTAGTTGTTGAGTGCCGGTTACAACCTGTATTGTTGACATGCCTATGGCTTCTTTAGGAATAACTTTTATATTTATTTAAGAAATTTTAAATTATGTTTTACGTCATTTGGCAATATTCAGTCAGTTCTGCTCCCTTCTTGTCACGGATGAAATTGGGTCTTGCCTGCCTTTTGAGGAGGCGGCTTTTTGTAAATTGGCACTTTAAAGCAGGCCATATATATTTATTAGTATATAGATAGATGTAACATAGATATGCACACAGACACAGGATGAGAGCAAATACATTTTTGCAATGAAGGAACTCCTAATGGAAATGAAATGCATCATGTACAGCTGCAAAAGGCGCTTCTGGCTCCCAGCTCATCTGTCAGGGAGAGACAGGGTTGGGGGAGGAGGGGAGCACTGGCCCAGGGGGGTGGGTTTGCTTTCTTCTTTTCCCAAGCTGAGCTCCGTGAAGCACTGGGGTGCTGATGGATCTGCAGACTAAAGAGAAAGGAGGTTATACTTAAATGGAGAACCACTGACCAAGTGTAGCGTTAGGGACCAGGGGAAGGGAGGGCAGGGAGGGGAGGGACAGCTCCAGCTCCACCCAGCCCTTGTTCCACAGCAGTCCTCAGCCCTTGCAGGCGAACCCACGGCCTTTCTGTCCCTGCACCTCGAGTACCTGGGAACACAATGCTGCACAAACCTGGAACAGCACCAGGCTCGGTAACTTGGAGGCACTTGCCTTACCATGGTTAAAAACTGATTTGCAGGACACTGGAGCCATCTGTTTTTTGGGATTATTTAAGTATTTACACCTGCCTAAATATCACCTGCTAGGCAAAAGCTCCCATCAGTGCCCTTCTCAGAGACCTGTGCTGTTCAGGGGAGTCAGCTGAAGGGAACTTTTTGTACCCAGAGAGCAGGAGCTGAGCTCTAAATCCAGCCTGCCGCTTGGGCAGTGTCTGTGGCTCCTTGGTGCTGAAGCACGTCCTGGGGCAGAATCCCTGCAGGAATCCCCCAGGACAGAAACCTACTTGATTTGTGGGACTCAGAAGAAGGTTGGGAAGGCTGCTGCGGGCCTGGATCGAAGGGCTGAGCTGTGGCTTTCCCCCTGCCCAGTCACTGAGTGTCTCCAGCTGGGCCCGTGCCATGGTCCCAACAGCAGCCAAGCATGGAATTTCTCTGAGACCTACACCAGGGATGGAGATTGACATTAACGTGCAATGAAATGACAAGATGGGAGCAGAATAAGAGGGCTTTGGATTTGAAGTGATTTTTTTTCTTAAATTATTTATTCTTTTTTTTTTCTTCTGTAAATATATTTATTTTATTGTGAAGCTAACAACATCTGGATTGTAACATGTACAGAATGTATGGTAGGAATGTATCCTCTTGTAGGAATGTAAATCTGTATGAAAAAGGGTATGGGAGCCAGATTCAGAAAGAATTGAGTTCCAGTCAGGATATGCATGGATCACAAGATTATTTTTTCCCTACACTCTTTTTCTAATATGGGTCTGGTTGTTTGAAATATGCAAAAAAAGGTATGGAGGAGGGACAGGGTTATGTTCAAAATTAGTTCTAATCAGGCTCCCACCCCCCACCGGCCGCTCGAGAGGGGCCTCCCTTGGCACGCTACTGGAATTTGCCACTGAAGGCAGCAGCAAACGCAGTCATCTCCATCGTGCTGGCCTGGGAAAGGTTTAGAAAAGATGTTTTCTTCCCTTGTTTTTCAAACACGCATGGGAGGCCCAGCAGAACTCCCTGGGGCCGGGTGCCCTGGAAGGGGCAGGGTGTTCCCCAGGAGTTGTGCCAGAGCTGGGGCCGGGCAGGATCTCCCGTCCCGTCCAGCTCAAAGCCCAGCTCTGTGTCCGGCCAGCTGGGCCCGGGGCTCCGCACTCCCTCCGGAGCCTGGGAGCCAGGGAAGGGGAGCATTCCTGCTGGAGAGAGCGGCTCGGTCTGTGCGGGCACCGCCTGCAGCCCCCTGACAGCAACGCGCCAGGAGCCACCACTCACTGCCAGGAGAAATTCGGATTTTCCTCAACGCCGTGTGGTAAGAGCCTGGGTTATTTAAAACTGATACTTTTGAATCCAAAGTTTACACTTTATTACTATTAAATTGAGTACATAGCAATGGGTCCTGTCTGACAAATGGTTTAATTCATTCTGGCATGTTTTGAACTTTTTGTTCTTGTTACAGGGTTTCTTTTGGTTTGGTTTTGTTCTTTTTTTTCCTCCCCCAACCCCCCGCCCCCAATCAGGCTTCAGTATCCTGCTTCTGTGCAAGTTGCTTTCAATATTCTATTAATTAACGAGACTGAACATTTTAAAATAAATTAGTTATTTTTAAGCACTTTTTTTCTTTTTCTGAAAATAAGCCTAATGCAAGTTCTGGAACCTCTTTAAAAACACAAATTGCAGATAAAATCCCAACCTCAACTCCTATCTAATTCTGAGCGTATTCCATACTAGTGCCTGCAAAGGCCAAGATTCTGGAAAAGGTGTAAATAGTGTGACATGTTCAGTGCATGGTTGTTTGAACAGGGCTTGTTATTGTCAAAAAAAAAAAAAAAAAAAAAAAAAAAAAAAAAAAAAAAAAAGGGAAAAAAAAAAAAAAAAAAAAAAGAAAAAAGGCTGTATTTCCCCTTCCCCTCCCACAGACCTTAGAGCTGTGCCTTTTCTATGCAATATTACAGACATCTGAAACCAGATTACTGTATTCACATGTAGGTATGGGCTGTAATCAAAAAAACAATTGGACAAATGTACATGGAAATGAGCAGTCTTACTTTTGTAGTTTTATATTATACAATAAACAATTAAAATAAATTCTGGCTTTGTTCTTTCCCTCCACGGAGGAGGGCAGTCAGGGCCAGACGAGACCCGGTGCGGGCTGCAGGAGGAGGGCTGGGAGGTGCTCGCCCGCGGCAGGTGGCGAGGGACAGGGGCGGGACAGCGCGCTGTGACCCCGCTCCGCCTGACAGAACAAGGGAGCCTCGCCCTGTGCGGGGCCGCTCCTGCTGCGGGGCTTTTGTCCTGCCCGGCACACAGAGGTGCCCGTGGTGGCCCTTCCTGCCCCGCGTGTGCCGAGGGATGCTCGGGGCTGGAGCGGCTCCCCAGGAGCGGGACCTGCCCGCTGCCAATGCACGGAATGCCCCGTCCTTCAGGCCATCAAATCCCAGCAGGAAACATCTGATACCTTAACCCACCGCTTCGTTTATCAGCGCTCTCCTCCCTCCTCGCTCCCCCAGGTGCCCGGTGTTTGCTTTCAGAGCCAGCCGGGAGGGAGATCTCGGCCCTGCCCTTGGCTCCCTTCAGCCTCCTGCAGCCCGGATCTCGGCCCTGCCTTTGGCTCCCCTCAGCCTCCTGCGGCCCGGAGCGCCCTGGGCAGGCCCCGGCTGCGGTCTCGGCTCATGAGTCACCCTGCGCACGGCTCGCCCGCCTCCACACCCGCGGGAGCACGCCTGCTCCATTTTGGATTCCCAGAGAGCCGAGAGCCAGCGGGAGGAGCAGCGGGCTGAGCCCGTCCCGCCCGCAGCATCCCGGCTGCGGAGCTGGCTCGGGTTACAGCGCAGCCCCCCGGGCCAGGCACCAGCTGCCGCCCGGGGACAAATGGCTGCGGGGACACGGGCGCAAAGAAAGGAGAAGTGCGAGAGTTAAAGCCGGCCCCGGGATTGGATTTCTGTCTGCTCAGCAAGCGCTGCGCTCGCAGGGGTGAAGCGCAGCCGGGGCGAACCCTTTCCCGAGGGCTCGGCTCCCGTACGGGCACGGCCGGTCCTGGTGCGCTGATCCGGGGCAGGGCCGGCCGAGATGCCGCTGTTGCACTCTCGAAGCTGCCCCGGTTTTGTTGCCACCTACCTTTTGAGAGTTTATTTCCTCACTTGTGACTTGTCAGTGAGAGCCGCCTCCAGCGCAGAACACCCGGGCTGCGCACTGAGCCCTTCCTCCCCCTCCCGAGGTGAGCAGCTTCCCACCCACTGCACCCCTCCAACCTCCCACCTCAGCGAGGGCAAACCATTGCTCTGGGCTTTTAATCTGTATCTCCCCGCAGTGCCTGCCCCGACCCGAGGGCAGCTCCAGGCGTTTGCCCACAGGCAGCCCTTGGAGGAAGGGGGATCAGGCTGGAGTTCGGCACAGGCTGGATGAGGCTCAGGTCCGAGGTATCTCACGCCAACACCACAGCGGAGTGAGGCACTCACCTTGTTTCTCGAGGTGACAGCACTCTGGGGTACCCTGGGGACCGAGGGACACTCCCTCCCTCCCTCGGGAGGTGCCAATGTGTCCCAGGAGTGGCATTTCCACAGCGCTGGACAGAGGCTCGTTTCAGCAGCACTGACCAGGTCTGCATCCAGCTCTGCAGATGCTCGGTATCACGAGGCAGGGCAGCGGCTCCGTGGCCATCGAGAGCCACACCAAGCTCCTCTCTGGGCCCGAGTGGAAGATCAGAGAGCTGAGGCCACCAGCTTTCAGGGTCTTTGCTCAAGTATATGCTTTGTGGGCAGAAAGACACCCAAGCACGGCACTGAGGCAAGGAGGAGATGCAAAAACGCCCACGATGCAGGTGGCCTCAGCCAGGAGGGGTAACGCTCTCTGCCTCCAACCTGCACATCCGTGTGGGACACGTGCTCCTCCAGCCCTGGCATTCGCAGCCAGCCCTGCTCACACAGCACAGCCAGCTTCCCTGGACCACACACATCTCGTACTCACCAGAGGAAACACAGCAGGGAAAATCGTTGGAGAATGAAATCCCCTCCTGCCACAGGCAGTGCTCCATAGAGCAGCTGTGAGCCACAGCAAACCTATCAGCTGAGACAGGTCTGCTGGGATGCTGGCTCCACGGCTGAGCTGTGCAAGGAGCTGCTTCTCCTGGCTCCCCCTGCCCCTTTCCACCTCACCCCTCTCCTCTGGGCTCCCATTTGCCTCCATCACCGGTGGCTGCAGGCTCCTCTCTCTGCCTGGTCCTTGCATGCATCATCTGCCTCCTCTCCAGGCAGCTCCCTCCTTGCACAGCTCCCCTCCCTTTTGAAGAAACTGCCTTAGCAACTGGCAGCAGGCCAGCAGGATCATGGGTTTTCCCTCCCACCCTTCCTTCTCCTCCAAAGAACAAGGTGGCCAGGGAGGGGGAAGGAGCCATGAGGGCTCATGTGCAGCAGCCACAGGGGTTCTGCGTGTGGCAGGGGCTGGGCACACCCACATCTCATCCCCCAGCACTCCAGGTGTGCCAGGTGCTCTGGGGTCAGGAGCAGGGAGGGTTCCTTTCAGTCCTCTGTCCCTCTTCCTTTTTCAACCAGCATGCCCCCAAAAACCAGCTGATTCCTCCCCAACCATCCCCAGATCTAGAGATCTGCCAGGGGAAGGCACAGAAGGAGCAGCTTCCAAATAGCCCATTTCTGCCAGGATTTCCTTCCATTCTTTTGGCCCTGCCTTCCCCAGCTCATGCTACTCTCCCTGGACTATTTCCTCTCCTTTTCCCCCTGTTCACTGGGCTTCCTTCCCCTCTCCCTGTTCCTCCCCTTGCTTTCTCTCCTTCAGTTTGGCCTTCAGCACTTGCCCCTTTCCTGGTGTGAGCAGGGATGTCATGGATTGTGTGCTTGTGCCAAGCTCTGCATTTATTAGAGAGGGGGAGGAAAAAGAGAAAAGAAAATGCCTCAAACCCCTGGCAGCTTGCTAGAAGACAATACTCAGGTAGGGTAACACTGCTCTTGCTTTCCTTGCATTCTGCCTTACCTTTTGCATGGAGAAAGGATTACTTGGGCTGCTCCAAAGGGACTTCACTGCCCAGCTGGCAGTAAACCCTAACCCTAACCCTTTGGCAGAGCTAATCTGGCCAGCCTGCTCCTTCCTGGGGTGGGGAGGTGTGCTGGGCTGGGAGGCACAGAGGGATAAACCCTCCTTCCCCCTGCCCTGATGGCAGAACAAAGCAGGTGCCACCACCTTTCCCTGCCTGCCAGGGGTTAATGTCATGGTAGCCAAAGTGGCACCTTGGTTCAACCAAAGGTTTCCACCCAAATCCTTCAGAAGTGTCACATGAAGTGCTCTGCATTGCTTGCCCTCCCTGCTGTTTGGTGGGAAAACCTGGTGAAGCAGATGTGCCTGGTGTAACCTTAACTAAGGGATGTGAGGGAGAAAGGAGGAGACCCCACTGGGAAAACCCAGAGGCACCACAAACCCAGGGGCTGTGGCTGAGGGGGCTTTGGGTGCTGACTGGTTTAGCAGCAGCATTTCCATGTGAGGCCTGGCAGCTGGATCAGGACACAAATGGAAGGGAGGCTCCATTTAAAGCCCAGCCCTCTGCTCCTGCACCTTTTTCTCCAGCCAGAAGTGCAAAGCAGCTGCTTCTGCCACCCTGAATGGCACTGAGGGTCACCTCAGCCACTGTCCTAACACTCCAGTTCTAGGGATGAGGAGCACCTATTCTCAGTTTGGAGAACATCATTCCTGAATGTAACTCCATTTTCAAAGCACCAGAGCATCCTGCCTCCCTTTGGTGGCTGTGTGGACTCAGCTTCAGGCTACACCAGGGTTTGAGGAGGGTATGGTGAGCTGAGCTGCCAGACTTTGGCTTTCACTGGATGAAAGCAAGAGCAGGGTCTGGGCCCAGATCATATTCCCCAGGAGGAAATGTGTACAACTGCAGTGATGCTCAAAAACCACCCAGGGGCTGGCCAGTGCAGCCCAGAGGCAATCCAGCTCCAGCAGCAGGACTTGGTCCCAGCTGTGGAGCTTCCATCCGAGGAAAGGCTGGGGGGTCAGGAACCAGGCTGTTCCCCCATTGGGAAGGAAAAGGATGCAGGGAAACAACAGGGCAGGGGCCTGGGGAAGAGCTGAGCTTGAAGTTTGCTGGTTTTGCCCTCTCAGATGCAGCTCTGCCACATCAGCAAAGCCACCCCCATTTGGGTGACACCCCTGTTTGGATGTCACCCCAAACACACACAGCAACAGCAACAAACTGAGCAGAATTTCTAAGCAGAGTTCAAGACACCCCCTCCATCCCTCTCCTGCTACAGATGACCCCAAAAACAGTGTGGCCTCACTGGTCTCATGGCTTATTACTGACTACAAGCTGAATTCTGGATGGTTTCCTGTATCCAGCCCAAGTGAAAAACTCCAATGCAACAAAAAAAAAAGAAAAAAAAATTAAATCACCTCATCATCTCTGCCACTCATTTTGGGTTGTTAAAAAGCCTCGACTCAGTGGGTTAGGGATCACCAGCACACCAGAATCCTTTGCAGAGAGGAGCACAGCCATGATTTGTACACCCATTGTGTGTCACAGGGGCTCTGGGGATGGCAGCCATGCAAAACAGCAGCCACAGCACGGCCCCAAAACCAGACACTGTGGGAGCAAAGCAAGGGCCCAAAGTGCCTGGTGAACCTTTCACTAGGAATTGCTTCAACCAGTCTGGAGTCCCACACACGAAGGCAAGGACAACCCAGGAATGTGTCATGCCAGGCAAGGGAGTGGGGGGAAAAGGGAGAGAAACGTGCTGGGCAGGAGGGACGACTCTTCCATGAGGCCCTGGGGATGAGCTTGGAAAGGTGGCAAGTCCCAGCTTGCTCCTCCTGCCAGAAACTCCTATTCCTACTGCCCTCCCACGCCCTGTGCTCCTGGTGTGACCTTCCTCCCAGCCCAGCTCCCCGCAGCCGCTCCCAGGCAGCTCCCGAGGGGAGCAGAGGGGCAGGGGATGGATGGGCTGAGCGAGCCTGGGGAAGGAGGAGGGCTCCAAGGGCTCAGGACCTGCCAACCAGAAGCATCCTGCAGAAGGGAGGGGAGGAAAGCCAACCTTCCCAGAGGGGATGGGCTGCTCCTGGGGGACAGCAAATCCATGTGGCTCTGACTTCATTTCACACCCGCACCTGGGGCAGGGGAAGTGCTCTCCAAAGTTATGGATGAAAAAGATGTGATTTAAAAATAAAGAGTAGTCCTCTCCAAGACATCCTGGCCTGGCTGGTGCTCGCCAGGCTCAGAGCAGGCATGGTGGGTCCAGCCTGCCCAGGCAAATCCAGCTTTGGCAGCAGCTCTGGGTGCCAGAACGTGCCCAGCTGGCTGGGAAGGGCTCCCTGGGACAGAGGCACCGATGGAAAACTGCAGCCACAGAACACACACACACACACACACACACACACACACCCCGAGCCTGCTCTCTTGTGCTGCCCTGAATGCTTCACTGCTTCAAGGGAGAGGCATCAAGATTGAAGCCTAAATTAAGATTTAAGACAAACAGCAGGAACAAACCCATTTGGCCCAGCTCCCTCCTCTCCAGCAGACCTGCAATCTGTACCAGGTGAGCAGGGCCCAACCATTGCTGGTTATGGTGTCTGTTCTAAAGCAACTGATCTAAACCTCAGTGAAACAGGCAAATTTGGCTCTGCTGTTCCAGAACACCCTGTGCCATCTGCAGATGATTCTTTACACAGAGAGAATGTGCCCTGACAAACAGAGTTAAACAACCCAATAGCTTCCTGCAATATGTAATTTATCACCCAGAGTAACCATAAGAAAAGCACATTTTAAATGTGGGGTTTGACTGTGGTTAACCCTGAAATTAGGGACTTTCTTTTCTTGATTACTGCACTCCTCTTTTTGAAGCTCAGCTACCCCCAAAGCCAAGCTCAACTCTGCTGCTTCAAACCCAGCTCCTACCCCCTGCTCTCACACAGCCTTTAGGCTGCAGCTGTACCTTTGGGCCAGCAAAGGCAACCCCTGCCATGGAGAAGAAGAGTTAAAATCACTTTGTAAAGCTCTGCCTCCTTGTTAAGGCAAGGGAGCAAAGCCAGGCACCCACTCCTGGTTCAGCGTCTCACAGCACCCCGAGCAGCAGAATAATTTACCAACATATGAACGGAGGCTTAGGGGCAGCTGCACCACATAAACAGTCACGGTGGGGCTCTGAAGTTTCTGTCAGGATATGGGATATAAAGCTGGGTGAATAACTGATTTTTCGGTTCACTGGCAACCCTAAAAAAGTTTCAAAAGAAAAAAAAATTCATTTGGGGTTGACTGAAACAAATGTTTTGTTTTGACTTTTCAGCCCCTGTGACAAAAGTTAGCTCCGAAGATCATTCCAAATGAAAAGTTGCTTCAAATAGGAAAATCTCAATGCCTTTTATTCAGAAAAGGCTGAAACAAAATAGGTTTGTTTCTTTTCTAGCTAGGAAAAAAAAATAAATGTGGCAAATCAAAACAACGAATTTTCATTTTGCCAAACTTTGCCTTTTTTGCTCAAGATTTTACCCAGCTCCAGCACAACCAATTTACACATGCAATAACTTAAAGAGAGACACTAGTAATCCTGATGGAATACAAGATTGTTTTGTTTTTAAAAAAACAAAACAAACAACAACACTGCACAAATGTCCTGAAACTGAAACCCAACAGAAAGTAAGCTCAAAACCACTAAGCTTTTCTTGGCTCGGCTAGAGAATCTTATTAAGGCTCTGAATCATAGAGCCACAGATTTGGGATGTTGTGAAAATTAAATTAGTCTTACTTATTATTAGCAAGGCAAGAAAGGAACCAGGAGATTAGGATGCAGCAAGTGGCATTGTGAGCCAACTTTTCAGCGTGTCCCTGCCTTTCTCCTGCAAACCCACAATTAGCTCCGTGGTGGTTTTAATCTCGGGCTGCAGGTTCCTGACTCTCCCCTCAGCCTAATGCAAATCCAGGATTTCATGCCACGCCACAGTGAGATTCTCATTTCACTTCCTGCCTTGTTTCATTTGGAGCCTCTGCTTGCCTGTGCTCTGTAGGTGCATCTCACCCCACGGCTGCAAACATTTAAGATCCAGGGAAAGCAGGAGTTAAAGCCTTGGGGTAGAGGAGGAAAGGCGCCCATCCATAGGGACTTCCAGAGGGTACAAGTGGGATGACCTCACCCCTCTCCTGTCTGGCCTTTTCCATTGGGAGTTTAATACTGGAGTTTGCTGGCTGCTGGATGGCTCTGATGCCCTGGGGGACAAGAGGCTGGCCAGCTGGGACAGG